CAGAGCCCATTGCAGCCCTTGAGCAGTTCATGCAGCAGTGCTGTACCCATAACTGGAAGCTGTTATTATTTTCTTTATATTTTTCCTTCATTTTGGGTTATTTTTCCATGTTTTTTTAACCACAGGAAGGCTTTGAGGATGGCCTCTGCATGGTTCCTGGTGTGTGCTGTGTGCTGGGGTTGGGGTGTGGGGTTCAATACCTGGGTTTGCTCTAGGCTCCTTGAGATGTGTTGTGGGTTTTATTTTGGGGCTAGCATGTCTTAAACCCTTCAGGCTTTGCAAACTGCTTTCTAGGATTGTGTTGACTTCTATTTTTTTTTTTTTTTTTGTTCTGCTGTTGTTCAGTTGCACAGAGTTTTCTATATATGATGTGCTAGTTCTAACGTTAATTCTCTGTGAACAGGGTGGAGATTATTCCTTGTAGTTTAAACAAAACTAAGTTGTACTCTTAAAAAAAAAACAAAAACAAATTCCCTTTGCAATCCTGTTTGTATCCTGTTGCAGTGTTACCAGATGGCCTTATGTACGTCACAGTGGTTGTGATGAGTACAGTAGCACATTTAATGCTTCTCTCCCCACTCTCTGTTTTATAGCTGAGAAGTATATTCTTAATACTCAACCTGAATCAACAGGGAAATTCGAGGTAAGGATAGTGGTTGTCTCCCCTAATGCAGTTGGAATGAGGCAGGGATTAAATCCTTAAGCAGCATGAGGCTGGCTTGGGAATTCTGAGGCTTGTGGCAGATGTGGATCATGTGCCAGAAGTTTGGAGATGAGAACAGAACCATTGGCTTTGCTGCAGCTGCTCCAACTTCCACGGGCTGAGCCCCTGGGCTGGGCACACTTGGGCTGAGAGAGTCAGGGGAGGGAAGTTTAAGTTAAGTTTTTAGCAACTTAAGCAACCTAAGCAGCTGTGGTGATTGTGCCAGTTGTTGTCCTCTTTGTTTTCCAGGTGCACATCTGTTTTGGAAAGTGACTTTTCTGCTGCCTTTAGTGTTTATTCCTCCATTGGATTTTTGAGGCTAATTTGGGCTCTCTGCAAAAGCAGCATGAGGATGGTTGCAGGGTTTGGGGTGCAGCAGCTTTGCTATCTGAGCAGATATCTCTTGTCAGGTGATGCTGGATAGACATCTCTATCAGGTAATCCTAGAGACATCTCTGTCAGGTGATGCTAGAGATACATCCCTGTCAGATAGTCCTGGAAATATCCCTGTCAGGTAATCCTAGAGACACATCCCTGTCAGATAGTCTTAGAGATATCCTGCTCAGGTAACTTTAACTCTGGCATGAATAACTTTTACCTTCCTGGCAAACTTTTACCTTCCTGGCATTTTAGCAGAACAACCAGTGGTTAAAAACCTCCACTGAAAGCAGCAGAAAGAACTTTTTTTTTTTGCTTGCTCTTTCCAAAACAGAATCACCTTGGTTTTTTTCTCTATAAATATATATATATAGCACCAAGAGACAAACAAGTTACTTTGTAGTGAGTGTCTGAACTTCCTCCACTGGAGACTTTTCTAGCCAAGCTCTCTTAGAGACAACTGTAACCTCACCCCCCTGTGGTTCCTCCCTGCAGTTGGGTGAACCTGGGACAGAAGAGCTTCTCAGTCTAACTTTCTTTTGAACTAATCCCTTTACTAGGAGTATCTTAATGCCATTGTGTTAAAACAAAATGCTGATATGTAATGCAAGTCCATAAATAGCCAAAGTTTTCAGTAATTGTTCAGTGTTATTCAATTTTGCTTTTATTTTACCCTTCCAAGCTACCATTTAGGAAGACCTTCAGCATGTGGAGATATTGCAAATCAAGTGTCATCCACTTGGATTAGTCAAGAGATTGAGGGTTTTTTTGGGTGTTTTTTTTCTTTTTAAACACATTTCAGGTTTGGATACAATTTGGAGGCAAAAAAAAAAAAAAAAAGATTTAAGATGCAAAACTTCCTTTGCACTGACACTTCAAAGTGACAATAATTGCTCATTGGGAATTGTTCTTCAACCACCATGAAGGTCTTTCCTGAGGGGAATCAGGTGACTTTTTTCTATTGCTTCGATTTTTGTGCAAAAAAAAACAAAAAAACAAACCTACAACTAAAGCTCAATGTATTGCAATCTTTTTTTAAAAACGGGGTGGGAATAGTTAAAGAAAACTATTTTCTGTAAGAACTGACAGAGGGATTTTTGCTTTGTATAATGCAAGCTGGCTTTAAAAAAAAAAAAAAGCATTGTAGCAGATTATTCAAGTCAATCATATGTTAATAGTTATGTGCAACCAGACATGCAAAACAATTGTATTTTTTTAAATAAATATTTTTAACAAAGTTCGCTGACCTTTGGCCTCTTGTGTTTTCACTAGAGGAAGTAGAAAGTTACAGCTGCAGAGCAGTTTGCTCTGTGATAAGGAAGGAGTTCAGCAGACCTTGAGGGAGAGTGGCCTTTCCCAGCATCACTGGCTTGAGTGGAGGTGGTTCTGGAGTGCTGCAGGGTTTTTTTTCCAAATCAGGTAAATTCTGGTGAAAATTTCCTTTAAACAGCATTTTTTTGCTTTATCTATAAAATCTACTTAGTGTTTCATAGAGCCCAGAGGGTGTGAAGGGGTTGAGATGGAGCTTAGAGATCATCCAGTGCCAACCCCCTGCCCTGGGCAGGGACACCTCCCACCAGAGCAGGTTGTTCAAGGATTTAGCCAACCTGGAATGAAGCACTGCCAGGGTTGGAGCATCCATAGCCTCCCTGGGCAACCTGTGCCAGTGTCTCACCACCCTCACAGCAAAAAAACAGCTTCTTCCTGATACCTAATCTAAATTTCCCTCTCTCGATTTATCCCCATTACTCCTTGCCCTTGCTGCTAGCAAAGTAGCGATTTGAGCTGTCAAATATACTCCTAACAAAAGAACTGTTGTGCCAGCAGAGGAGGTTTAGCTCTGTCTTCCCAAATCTGCAAGGACACAGCTCTTTCTCCTCAGCTGCCAGCCCTGGTGTGAGACATACGTCAGCCAAACGGAGTTCTTTCCAAATCAACAACTCCCTCCTTGTATTGTTCTGTGCTCATTTCCTCTGTGCAGGGCCCGGGAGATGCTCTCAGGGTGGGAGGAGCTCTGGGAAGGACAGATTGGGGTTTGCTCTGCTGTAAATGGGTTTTGCAGTGCACATTTCTTTCATTCTGGCAGTTCAGGAGAGTAACAGTGGCATCCTGTGGAGCTGGGGAAGAACTGCAGCATGTGCTGCCCTGGCTGGAATCTGTGCTAGGATTAGAAGAGAGTTAGAATCTGTTCTGGTATTAGAATAGAATCCCAAACTGGTTTGGGTTGGAAAAGGAGCTTAAAGCTCATCTTGTTCCAACACCATGGGCAGGGACAACTTCCCCTAGCCCAGGCTGCTCCAAGCCCTGTCCAACCTGGACTTAATGGAGCTTAGTTTAATTATAGAATCATAGACTAGATTCTGATCCTGGGATGTGAGGCAGGAAGGGTCCTGAAGTCCAGGGATGAACTAAATCCACAGTTCAACTGCATTTACCTACTCACCTCTAGGTACACAAAGTCAACACATCAACCGTCAGCTCCTGAGGCTTTTTCTCCAGCACCACCCATGGAGCTTGAGAAGGTATTTTATAGAAGGTAAGAGCTACTGCTTGGTAAAATAGACATTTCCCAGAGCAGCTGTGGCTGCTCCATCCCTGGGAGTATTCCAGGCCAGCTTGGACAGGGCTTGGAGCAACCTGGACTGGGGAAAGATGTCCCTGTCCATGGCAGGGTGTGGAATGAGATGAGCTTTAAAGCATCTTCCAACCCAATCCGTTCTTTGATTCTAGAAATGCTAAGAACCAGTTTAAATTATAATGAAATTAGAGTATCATATAATAAAATAGAATATAATAGAGTTTAAGAACTGGTAAATATAAGACCTGATGGTCATGGCCAGAAGCAGCTGGAGGTACCCAAATCCACTCACAATGCCAATCTAGCAATCAATCACCTTTAATTAAGCACTGCTTTATATACACAGGTCCATATGTACATCACATACAGCAGTTAAAGCAAGAAGTACATGTCCAATCACTCACTGGAGAAACAGCTGTATGGAGCTTTACATTCCTCTAAAGCCAGTCCTGTCTTCATAGCTGGACTAGGTCATGCTTGGGGATGAGAGTACCTTAACACAAGGCACTGGATGATAATATTGCACAGGTTAAGCAGCTGGAGATGACTCCCAAATATCTCTGGTGATGCTTCAAGTGGAAGCTGGAAATAAAACCACCCTAAAAGCCACTGCAACTGGAGCAGCTAAACTAGTGACTGTAAGCAAAACAAACCAGCACAACTCAGTCTTGACTTGAAAAAAAAAAATAAAAAGAAAGAAAAAAGCTAATGATTGTGATCATCAAGAGGCCTGAGCATGCTGTGAGACACTGTCCCAGTGAACATGTTGGATGGTGTGGAATATACAGGAATCAAGTGTGCAAATACAGCCAGGTCCTGCTACCACTGTGCCCCTGGGGGGCTCTGCCAGCTCTGGGACTATTCCCCTTTGGAAGGATCAATGCAGGTGACATTGGCTCAAGCCCACGTCGCACAAAGATGAATTAAAATCCAGGATTGTGCTGTAAGTTCTTGGGGGGCCAAAAAAATAACCTGTTCGATTCAAATGGCTAAGCCAGGAGACATTCAGTCTGGGTAGGGAGAACCTCTTCCTTCCCATCCTCCATCCTGAACAGGCAAAGTTCAAGTTGCAGGAGTGACTTGTGCCACTCTCCTGCCACACAACCCTCAGAGCCAGGGCCAGGGTGGCACTCACAGTCTGTTTGGTACAAGTGCCACTGGCACCTCGTGCTCAGCTCACTGCAGTGGTTTAGGATGTTTCCTTGATTCTGACTTACCCAATCTAATGTGCTTTTGATTGCAGAGAACTTGCATGATTCAGTCATTAAATGTGAAATCATCCTGGAGAGTAGTGTTTCATTGGGTGTTGGGTTATTGCTTGGCAGGAGCTTGGCCACAACTTCAGCGCTGATACTGTCCTGTGTCATCTGGCACTGCTGCTTTGTCAGGAGAGGCATCATCCTGGTCTGCAAAAGGGACAGAAATGCTTCAGCTGCATGTACAATACTTCATCTGAGTGTGAAGGGCTTGGGATGGAGCTTAGAGATCATCCAGCCCCAACCCCCTGCCCTGGGCAGGGACATCTCCCACCAGAGCAGGTTGTTCAAGGCTTTATCCAACCTGGAATGAAACACTGCCAGGTTTGGGGCATTCACAGCCTGAGTCAGCCCTTTCCTGCACCCTAGACATGTGTTTGCCTGTCACACTCTGCTCCTTTTCTAAGAGCTACTTATAAAAGCAAAGAGCATCCTCAGCCTGAGGTGATAAGGAAAATCTCCTTTATCAGGGAGGCTTTTTTTCCAAGAGCCTGACAGCTGCCCATGATGGCAGACCCACTTGTTCCCTGGATTTCAGCCAGGGAGGCTGGTGCAGCCTCTCTCTCTCTCTTTCCACAGACTATTTCTACTTTTTCCCCTTGCTTCTCCAACAGCAAAGCAAGCAAACCCTGTGGTGTGGCTGCCAAGGCTTTGTGGGCAAGTCAAAGCAGGAAAAGGGGAGAGGAAACAGCAGCAAAATGAACATTTCCTTGCATTCTGTGCAGTGCTGAGCCCTGGTCTGCAGTGCTGCTGGTGCTGCTCTTCCTCCCAGCCCAGAGCAGGGCTGAGAGCTGCTGCTTGCTTACCTGGGCAGGGCTTGGGGTACATCCTGTGGAAAAACACCAGGAGAGCATAGAAAGTAAAGGCCAAACAGCCAAAGATCATCCCACACACCAGGAAGCTGTAGCTGCCTCGATCATGGATAATCTGCAGTGGGAAGGGAAAAAAAAAGAGAGCAAACATCAGCACAGCACTCAGATACCTCGTTCAGGGAGAGCTTTACTGCTTGGTAACTCAAGGGTTAAGCTGCCCAAAAGCCACAACTAAGGTTTGGACTTATAAATTCCAGTCAGATTTTGGCATTCCTTGTCTACTCACCGACCCAACCAGGAGCTGCAGTACCATCTCCCCAATGCCAGCTCCAGTCACCAACACAGTTGTGGCACAGCCTGCAAAGAAACAGGGCAAGAGATGGTGGCAGGAGCAGGTGACACAGGCAGCAGGGTCAGCCTGTAGCTCCTTGAAACTGCTTGAAACTCCTGTAAACTGATCCAAACTCCTTTAAACACGGATCTCTCCACACAAGATGTACAAACACTCAATCTAAGTCCCCATTTCATCCTGAATTCCTCTGCTAACCTGCAGCAGAGCAGAAAGGTAAAAGCTAAAGCCCAAACCCCAAATTTCCTCTCAGTTGTCTCTGTTGGCAGAGATGATGTTGCTTCTTGCTGGAAAGATTTTCTTGTTTCTCTCTCACCTGAGCCAGAGGTTGGCAGAGACCTCCTGGGAGAGCTGCCCAAAGCCTGGGATTTCAGGTCACTGATAACCTGATGATGTTTTCAGAGCTCTAAGCCTCTATAAAGCAGCATTCCTGTCACTCTGAGATCCCTAAAGCTGCAGGAGACCAGGAACCAGGCTGGATCCCTGCCTAGGAAACTTAATCAATGAAGCCAAGACTTCTACAGTGTGATTTTCTGCCTACAAACATCATATCCAAAGCAGATCTCCCTCCTGGGTATCCCTGACGAGGGAAGGAGCTGCTAGGTGTGATGGTATTTGAGCTCTAGGTGTGCCAGGTGTGCCCCAAATCCCTCTCACCTTTGTACTGCAGGATGTCCTCAGTGTAGGCCAACATGCTGGGGAAGGTGCTGCTGAGGAACAGCCCCAGGGATGCTGTCCCCACAAACAAGAAGACAACACTGGTGGAGAAAATCAGGAGCAGGAGGAAGGTGATCAGGACTCCAACCTGTGAACAACACACACAGGCAGGAAGGTAAATGCTGAGTTGTAATTGCTCTAGTTTTTTTTTTTTTTTTTGTAGTAGAAAATAGTCTGACAAAGAGAATATACTGAGGAAAGGTCAGTCTTGGAAAAGTAACTAAAGAAAATCCACCTAGCTTTAAAGAATTTGGTGCTTTCCAGCAGGACTTTGTAATGTAACTTAGTACTGAAGTGTCAGCTTCATTATGTAGAAACTTAAGGTTGTGTCTGGAAAAAACCTCCCAATTTAAATACAATAGTTTTGCTCCTTCCATGATATTTACATGTCTCCATCACTAACAACCCTTTCACCTGCTGGATAAGACAATTCCCTCACATTGACTTACAGAACTAACTCTCAGTAACTGCTCAGGAAGCCACAGAGGTAAAGCCAAAGAGCAAATCACGTTTAAATAAAGATGTTCTCACCTCTGGATCCCAATGCCCAAGTGAGACAGGACAGAGTCAGCAGAGGGAGCTCTGATATCTCAGCTCGGCTGGAATTCCCTGCTCAGGCCCTGATTATCCCTGTGCATGGACTCAGCAGCCATTTGGGCTCTAAAGAGGCTGAATCCAAGCTGCAGTTGGCTGGGAAACAACTCCAGCACTGCTGCATCTACAGGGTCAGTGTCAGCCGAGGGAATTCATTTGCACTCAGAGCATCCCAAAGTGAAGTGTCTCTTCTCACCACCCTTAGATCTGCTCAGCCTCACAGCATCAGCTGTGAAACTCACCAGCAAAGCAACTTCTGGTTTCAGTAAATGGCAAATGGATTGTCCTCTCACTGTTTGCTTCTTCTCTGTAGGAAGTGTGACTGGGATCCTCTCCCTCCCTGTTGTCTGCCACATCCTTACATGCATCTCCTCCTTATCCTTAAAGGATTCCTTCCCCTCTCTCCAAGTGAAGGTGTTCTATTTAAGCAACCTCACACCACACTGGTTTCTCTGACAGCTGCTACAGCCTAAGCAGGGAATGTCCTGCAGGATCTGCCTTCCCCTTCCCATGGCTAACCCAGGAATTCATCTCCCTGAAGTGCCAAGACCACGGTGTGCAAAGCCCATGAAGTTGGCACTTCCCTCGTTGCTTTCACACCCCTCACAGGAGATGAACTGGGGAACAGGCTCAGAACAGCTGTACAATCAAGCTCTAAGTCTTGCCTACCTCACCTGGATTGCAGCTGCTCCAGCCCTACCTGGTGCAAACCTCCCCCAGGAGTGGCAGGAGAGGAGCTGCAGCACATCCGAACCAAACAGGAGAGACATCCCAAAGCAGCCTTACCACGTTGATGAAGACCATGGTTGCTGGCTTCATTCTGTAGGACACAGGGATGGAGATGAGCCTGCCCAGGGTGATGAAGCCCCAGAAGAGGCTGGGCAGGTAACCAGCCACTTTGTGCACCACGGACAGAGGCTCCTCCACCGCGTAGCTGTACACGAAGCCTGAGTACTCTCCCTGCAGGGAAACAGGACAGCCTGACACAGCCATGTGGGACTTCAGGCTCTGGGACTCTAACCTGTCCCTCAGTTATTCATGGGAGTAGTGCTGGAGAGCCCAACTATGATGTGCTGCCTGTTCCCAAGGGTTTGCAGCTTCCACCACAAGTAGAACTCCTCTTGTTGCTCTCCTAGAAGGGCAACAAGTAACAGCAAGACCAGGTAAAATACATGCCAAGCTCTAGCTGCAGAGATTGTTTCCTTGTCCTTTTGGAATTCCAGGCTCTTAAAACATCCCATGAACAACCTGGAGTTGGTCATCCTTGAAGACAGAGACCCTGGAAAGTTCCCATACCATTCCCATACCTGAGAACTACTGTGACCCCTCTCATCTCAGGACCCGAAGGAATTCCCTACTAAGACTCAAAACTGTTGGAAGCCACAGAACAGCATCTTGCCAGCCAAAAGTGACCCTTCCTCACCCAGACACACAGCAAACCCTGGCCAGGAACATGCTGCCAGGGCACTGCAGGGACCACACCATCCCCATGTGCTCAGCTTGGATTCTGAAGGCTCAGGAGACCCAAAGAGTCACCATTGCTTATGAAATAAAATGAAGCTGTTCTTGCCTCTTGGGTGAAGTGAGAAGACACCTCCACTGCATAGACAACACCACAACTCCAGCTCTAACCCACCTATGGTCAGTGGCAATCTAGCTGCAACACCATGGACACTAGGAGAAGCCACCAAAGCCTCCCAAAGCAGCACAGGGCACACATCAGCCTGACTCTGCTTAGCTTTCCATGAGCTCCTTGGGCCCCACAGTGCTGCCTGGCAGACCCTGAGGTCCATCCCAGAGGCCACGTGCTGGGCTTGGGCTGTTCCAAGTGGTTGGGAAGGAGAAAGTTTTGCTCAGAGAAGATCCCTCTATCAGCTGAACTCACCACAATCCCATCAGTCATGAAGAGGACAAGAGCCCCAGTGATGTGCACGGCGAAGTAGGTGTAAGAAGCCCCTCTGAAGTTTTTGCTTTGGCAGCAACTGAACAAGTCATTGTGACCTGGTGAGAAACAATGCAAAGCAAACTCAGCTGGAACGTCCCCCTGGGGCTGGGTGGTTGCCAACCCACACTGGGGACTGGGTTTGTGCTCAGCAGCTCCAGAGATTCCCAGAGGACCAGGACTGTGGGGCACTGCTAAGCTTGGCTGGCACCACCTCATCTTTACCTATCTCTAAGGCTTCAGAAGGAAGATGGACATGTTCATGGGATTCTGCCACTCCAGGGCTGCTTGTGCTCCCGTTCCCATTTAGGGCTCCACATTGCTAGCCCCACTTTTATAGGCAATAAAACCAAGCCCTTCTGACCACAGCACTCATGACCCAGAGCTCCTCAATCCTTGGGGCCACCACACAGGAGAGTCCTGCCCAGAAGAGTTCACATTCCTTGGATAAATTTAACCAAACAAGCCAACTGTGGGAAAGAGAGTGGTAAACACACAGCTGCTTGCTTTTGCTTGGAGCAAACCCCTCTAGGAGGTGCAAGGGGCTGGTGTTAAGGTAACTGCACCTGGAATCCTGTGGCAAAGGATGAAATCTCACTGCTGTGGGGAAGGAGAGACTTCCTCAGCACAGATATGTCTGTCAGAGATCACAGCAGGCAGCCTACAGCCCTCCTGCTTCCCTAAGGATTCACCCCCACTGCACTGAAGAGGGAAATGGAGAGCTCCAGTGGGTTGTATGGAAATGGGCAGGTTGTTGAGGACAGAAACCATCAGTGTCTCAGCTAAGGGAACACTATCAGATCAACACAACCTTATCAGCCTCTCCATTAAGGACATCCATAATCCTTCCCTGCAGCACTTCCCATCTCAACTGCTCCCACCTCCAAGTATTCCCTAAAATTCCCTTTCACTGCTCAGGTGGAGCCATCACAATAACCCTGAGCACTCCCCTGATAGCTCTAACCCATGACTGCTACTGAGATTCACCACTTAGCTCTCTCCTGTCACTGCTGTCCCCAAACCAGAGAGTAGTCACAAGCTCCAGAACAAACTGTTGCTGGATTTAACTTCTCCCCTCAGTCAGGGGCACTGTCCTGATTCCTTTCCTACACAAATCAGGATGAGCACTTTTAACCTGAGCAGTCAGGAAGAAACCTGACCCAAACCCAGGAGGGAATGAAGGGGCAAAACTTCCACATGTGCAGAACTAGCTTTAGAGAAACACAGCCTGAAGTCCTAATCAGGATTAGGATACTAATCTCTGTTCAGGGATCTAATTTGAGGACAATTGAGCACCAAATAGCCTGTTTGGATTGCTTGGGTACTTCTGGATTAGCTTCATGTCTACCATGTGTTTCCTCCTTAGGTAACCCATTGGATCTCATGTAAACTCAGAGACACTCCACCATGGCTTTTTCTCCTCCAAGCCCCTAAGAGAGGTGTCCCCAGCTCACCTCCAGCTGTGTGTGGTCTCTGCCCAGTGGTGGAGAGTTCCTCCTTGTCCACAGGTCGTGTCTCCATGGCCAGCTCATCAGCTGAGAGCAGGGGGTGGCTGCTGCCGTTGAAGCAGGGAACCATCCTCTCCTTGTAGAGCAGGAAGAACACAGCGATGGGCACTGGCAGCTGGGGGGGACAGAGAGGGGCAGGGAAGCATGGCAAACCTCACACAGAACACAGTTCAGTCAGCTCAGCATCTCAATTAACCTCCAAGGGCAAGGCCAACGGGGTAAGGAGCCACAGAGGGAGGGATGGAGGCTTGTTGGGAGAGAGGAGAGAAGATAAAGCAAGCTGAGAGAAAAGTCTTCTGATCTTCTGGGACATTTCCAACCAGTGGGATGCCAGGTGGGCTGGGAACCTTTCACTGGGGACAGGGACAGTGGGCAGAAGGCACCTTAACACCAACCTCACCAAACACCATCCCAGCCCTTCAAACCCCAAGTGTTCTGTGTCCAACTTTACGCTACTTGTGCCCAAAGAACGAAAGAATAAAGCAGGTTTTTTTTCCCCCCTGTGGAAAGCAGAACAGTTTTACATGTGTGTAGCACACCTTCTGTGGCTGGAATTCTCCCTGAGGGAAGAACCAGCTGGTCCAAGCAGTTTTACACGTGTGTAGCACACCTTCTGTGGCTGGAATTCTCCATGAGGGAAGAACCAGCTGCTCCAAGACCCATCCCCAGCCATTAGCAGAGGTTGCTCCGCATCTCCTAAGAGATGAGCTCATGGTTCCCAGGCCAGCACTGCTCCAGCAGCTCCAAACAGCCCCTGAGCTCCAAACTTAGGTGATGCCTAAGCTCCATTCCAACCCCTTAACATGCCATGAAACTTAACATACTATTAACAGCCTTTTGGTGCAGCCTCTGGACCAGGAGAGACCCATGACTGAACAGCAGTGTCCCCAGCCACTGCCCTAGTGACCTCCTCTATGCATCCAGGGATGCTTCCAGCCCAGGACAGCCCCAGCACCACCATTCCCCTCCCTGCCTGGTGCCAACACACCCAGGGACCACCTGTACCTGCCCACAGCACCCATCAGGCATCAGCCCCTGCTGGCACTGAGCTCCTGGGGGTTGAGCTCACTCCCTGCACTCGCTGGGGCCTCCAAGCCCAGAGGGAATTGCTCTTGTTTTTGGTGAGAAAGCAGAGGGAAGCACCCGGAGCTGGGGCTGCCCCTTGCCAGCATCTCCTCCCACCCCAGGCCAGTGGTGTTTACTCTGCACCAAGCCAGGAGAAAGCCAGGAAATCCTAAGTGACAGCTCATTCTCTTGTTTTCTACATGTCTGTGAGCAAGTGGGAGCTCCAGCTTCAAATTTCCTGCCTTTTGTTGGCTCATGGCATGATTTAAATGTATGGAGAATTCCTCCCCCCCTCCCAAACTCTGCCTCTCTCGCCTGAATTCATTTATGAGGTCTTCATTGTTCTGGGAACAATGGGAATAGGAACAGTCAGTTCGGTCCCATGGAAGAAAAACGCATTTGCTTGATAGTTCTAATCCTTCCGGAGGTCAGGACCAGATTTCATTCTTCTAAAGTGCAGATTTTGCAGAAAAAATTCCCCTCACTGAGGGACTGACTCTGCAGACAATGGACAGACACTTCCAGCCTCGAGGAGCACTCGATGCCTGCACAGAAAAAGGCCCTAATTTGGGAGTCCCCAATTCCCAGTCACACTGGAGGTGTATCCATGCTCTCCACAGCCTCATCTCTAAAGCAATCAAGTCCTTTTTTGCTCTACCCAGGCTGTGCCAGGTCTGGTAGGTGCCACACACAGCTGGGATGGTCACCTGAGACCACCTCACTCCGGTCACAGACCTGGGGTGAGTGTGGGGGACAGAGCAGTCACAAATCAGCTCAGTTATGACACTGTAATATAAGAGTTACTACTCTGCAGATGAAGAGAAGCAAACAGAGCTGAGCACCAGAGCATGTTTCACCAAGCAAAGGGGTAAACCCACCCCAGAGGATCTCTTGATCCCAGCTGGATCTCCTGGTCTCAGCTCTGTCCAGCCCTCTCCCATTTGCTCATGGATTTTCTTCCCAGGGCACCTGTGCTGCTTTCTGCCTTTTTTTCAGCACAAAGATTTCTTTTCCCAAGGGGAAAAGAGGCACCTGAGCATCCCACCAGGAGCCAAAGGACCAGGCAGGCAGCAAGAACCTCCCTGGACCCAACCTCCAGCTCCATGTGCCAAACTGCCAGGGCTGTTCCCTGCCCTTGGCAGCTTTTAACCATCATTCCAAACTCCACTAGCTGCTGCATCTCACAGCTCAGTGTGGGGATAACCAGCTCCTTCCCTCCAGTGGCTATTTCAGTCTGTCCCCCCAGGAACTCAGGATCATTCCCTGCTATTGTATCCAGGCTACTTTTAAGCAATCTAAGCACAATGGAGTGTCCCACACTTCCCTGGGAAAGCACCTTCTGGACAAACAGAGCCCTCAGAGGAATATTACTCTGATTTCCAGCCCCTTGGAATGGGTTGGATGATGCCATTGTCCTTCTGTGAGAAACTCAGGCTTAAAATATGATTTTTTTCCCTTCCAAATCTGGTTGAAAAAAAAAGCCTAAACTCTCCTCTTAGAATGAAGGATTTTGGCTGGGAATCATCCAAGCACTTCCTTTTGCTTATGTTATGCTTAATTTTAACTAAAGCAAAGGCATTTTGCTGCAATAACATCGACACAACTCTGCTGTCAGCTTCACACAGAGCTCTTGTGCCAAAGTCAGATTGAGACATTTCCACTTGAAACAAAAGCAAGAGCTCAAAAATGAATCATTTCAGCTTGTGCCCTGTCAGAATCCATAGAGCCCTGTGAAAACTGGGAGGGAAATGGGAGTTTGGACCATTTTATAACAGAGTTGCTGGTCCTGGTTTCCATTTCTGTAGTTGACTCATTTTTCATCCAAATCCCTAAGGGTTTAAATACTCATTGCCATCATCTTCCTCTGATGTTTACACCAGAAAGAAAGGTCAGCAAGTTTGGAGCTGAGCTACTCTCAGTATCTCCAGTGGGTTGGGTTGGTTTTAACAGGGAATCAAGTGAGTTCACTCAGTGAAGATTTGGGAAAGACAGTAAGAGCTCAGCTGGGCACAGGGACACACTCAGGAGCTGTGCACATCCACCTCCTCACTCTATCTGCTTCCTAACCCTCACCCCAAACCCACCAGTCTCCACCACCTGCCACAGTCCTGGCATCCCTACACACCCAGACCACAGGAATTCTGTGTGTGCAAATCACCCCCAAGTGCAAATGGTACACAAATCCAGCTCACTGGGCACAGTGGGACTCAGCCTAGGGTCCCATCCTGCCCCCAGGACACTGCTGGGAACACAGAGGGGTTGGTGACTGCCCTGCCATCAGTGCCCTCTGAGATCAGACACATTGGCAAGTTCAAAGCAGATATCAAGCTCTGCTCCAGAGCTAAATTGGTTGCTCGGATTGCCTGGCAGAGTAGCTAAGGCTGTGGTGTAATTAAAAGCACATTTCCCATGGCATGGGCCGAGTCAGAGGTAATTAAAGCTGCTTCTCCTCCCAGGCAGAGCATCCTTGTGGTCCTCCTGCACAGAAGCTCATTACAGCACCTGCCCAGCTCTTTCCCCTGCCTGTTCTCCTCCCATCAGGGAGCTGTGCAGGCCTTGGGCTAATGAAAGCCTCGGGATGAGAGGCACTGGGGATGTTTTAGCAGCTCAGCAAATGGGAAGAGCAAGAGCACAAAAACTCATTCCCTTTGCCTAGTGCAGATGAAGTGGTGGAAGAACAAGGATTGCTCCTTGGCCTGGGCCAAGGAGAAGGAACATCCATGTCTCCTAATGCTTTGGTAGCATGGAAAAGGGTTGAGCCTCAGAGGGAAGGGGCTGCCAGGCAGGGAAAGATCCTCCTGGCAGGATCACCCTTCACTTCTACTACAGCAGCTCCCTGATGGAAAAAAAAGAGGCACTTGGCAAAACTCAACCCTTTGCTGTGGAGCAGCACAACCATCCTCATACCTTCTCCCCTCACCAGGACCACCCAACAGGCACCAGCACCCCCTGAACATCACATCCTCCTCCATAGCCAAGAGCTAGGGATGTTCCCTGGGCTACTGCAGCCTCAGCACTTACATTGATGAGGGCCATGATCCAGAAGGCATAGGAGACTCGTGTCACCACCATCCCCTTCATGGGCAGGTCGTAGTGGGACAGGTTTCCTGGGTGGTGTGGCACCAGGGACTTGCGGATGTGGGGGAGGTTGCTGGAGGCATTGGCAGTGGAGTTGGAAAGGATGCAGTTGGTGTCTGAGAGGAAGGGATCAGCTATCAGTGGGCTGAGCAGAGCCCCAAAGCCCACGAAGAAGTGAAGGGCCTGCAAGAGATGAGACACATGAGTAGAGCAGATCACTGCTCTGCTCTGCAGAGGAGGAGGAGGCTTAGCCCAAGGGGACACAAGGTCTCCCTGCTCACCTGCAGGAAGATAGCTGAGTCCTTCTGGTAGATCTTCACCAGCTGCATGTTGGAGATGGTGTCGATACAACCCATGGCCAGTCCTGCCACAGCCATGACCACAGCCAGGATGACCACATTGTGGCACAGGGGGATGATGGCAAACACCAGGGAGATTGCCAGGGATGAGGCAAAGAGTGCAAACAAGGACTGAGACAACCTGCGACAGGGAACGAGGAGAGACAGGACAAAATGAGTACCACGAGAGCAGCATCCACACCTCCTGTTTCCATCCCCAGGTGCTGTAGGCATCAGCAGAAGACACACAGGCTGCAGCTCCAGCACAAGCTGAGAAGACAAGGGAGACACTACCCCCTGCACCCCCCATGTCTCCATGGAATGGAGTTTTGTGCTCTTGTTCTTCCCATTTGCTGAGCTGCTAAAACATCCCCCAGTGCATCTCACCCAGAGAATTCAACCAGCCTCAAAGAAGCAGATCTTCCACCCAGATGTCATGGAGAGGAGGAACCATCCCTCCAAACCTGTGTTCTGTGTGTTTCAAGGCAGAGTAACCACCTTTCCCTTGGAGCTGGGCAGATCTGGGGATGGAAAGGGATGTGGGGATGTGCAGGTGAGGCCTTACCATGACTTTTGAGCAGCTCCAGAGTGTTTCTCACACAGTTCTGTATCGCAGGAGAGCTGCTGGCACCACTGCAGCATCCCAGAGCTGCCTGAACGTGCTGTCCTGCTCACAGGAAAGCCACTGCAATTCCCTCTCCATGCCCTGTGCCATCCCTGTGCTGGCAGCATCCTCTCCCCTCCCAGCAGGACGGGGGGAGATGCAGCACTGCTGCTGTTCCTGGTGGAAGGAGCCACTTCCAACCCACATGGGCCCTGGGAAGATGCCCCAGGGATGTGTGTGGTGGAGGCAAAGCTGCTGTGTTACATCTCAGGTGTGCTACATCTCAGGCCTGGCAGCAGCAGAGCTGTCCCTGGTGTGAGCCAGGCACTAGCCAGAGAACAGCTCGGGGCTGGCACTGTGTGGCTCCGGAGCTGCCAGGGGGGAAGGCAGGAAGGAAGGAAGGAAACAGGAACCAGACAGCAAAGCACTGGAACCAGCAGAAAGATGGGACTATAAAGGCACAGTGACAGCAGCACAGGCAGGTCCCTGTCCCACCCTGGGCTCCCAAACCCTGCTGGAAGCCTGGTGAGATGCCCATCAGCTGCTTAATGAGTTGGTAATTAGGCATATTTGGGGGATGTGGGGCAAAGCTGTCTGTGCACAGTTAAGGACTGGCAGGGCACAGGTACATCCAGGATCTAAGGGGCTCCAGGGAAGGTGGAGAGGGATTCTGTGTTAGGAACTGTGGTGATAGGACAAGGAGTAATGGGGATGAATTGCAAGAGAGAAATTTAGGTTAGATATCAGGCAGAAGTTTTCCCTGTGAGGGTGGTGAGACCCTGGCCCAGGTTGCCCAGGGAGGCTGTGGCTGCCCCAACCCTGGCAGTGTTTCATTCCAGTTTGGATGAGCCTTGAGCAACCTGCTCTGGTGGGAGGTGTCTCTGCTCAGGGACTGGATGATCTCTAAGGTCCATCCCAATCCCTTAACACTCTATGAAACTATGGACACGTAAGCAGCAAGGAAAACACCCACACTCTGTTGCAGGCTCAGCCAGCGAGGGAGGAGACGATGAGGAGCAGAGGCTGGAGGTGCAGCAGAGCTGTTGGGCACCTCTCTGCCAACCTCCTGCCCTGCCTGCTCGTCCAGAACGGCCTGGCCTTGGGCATGGCACCCTCATTCATCTGCAAGCCCAGAGTGCTTTGGCCCTCCACATCCTGCTCGTTGCTTACACTGCACTTCACCAGCACCAGGGAGAAAAGTGGGCCAAGGGCACAGCTCCTTTCTTCTGCTGCCCAGGGCACAAACCTGCCTGGTGTGCTCACATCACTCAGCCCAGCCTGGCTCACCTGGCAGCAGCCCATGATGGAGGAGACAATGTTTTGCAAAGCTGTAACTCCTGGTTTTCCTCTGGCAGCACCAAGGGGAGCCAGCGTGGGATTTCTGGGGGAGGGAGGGAGCCAGGCGAGATGTGCACAGTCACGGCAGGGAAAGCAAGCTGCAAATGAGACAGGAGCAGCTTGGAGCCTGAAGGGATGAGGCAGCTCCCTCCAGGGTACAGCAGGAAGGAGAGAGGCAGAGGCACCAGCAGCTGGTGCATCCAAGGCTGGGAGTGATGGGGAAATGCAGGAGACAGCCCCAAATGCCTCTTCACTCCAGCAAAGCCACCAAGGCACTGCCTGAGCTTGGCCAGGGAGTAATGTGCATTGCTGGAGTTAAACACTGATTGCAGATGATGTTATGTCCTTAAGAAGCAGTCAGAAGATCACCTCAGCTTTCCCCAAGGAGTAGAAATTCCTGTCTCCAGCCAGAAGTTATAACACAGTTGGATCCCCCTGCAAACACCAACAGCCCAGGGTGGCACAGCTAACCCTGCCCTGGCTCTGGCATTAAGGGCACCAAGAAATCACTGCTGCCTATGCCAGATCCCTCAAAATGTAGCCAAGGGGGGATTTCTTTAGAGACAAACCTCTCTGAAAACATCCTTAAATGAGGTATCCCAGCACTTCCAGGGAGCTCCATGTCTTGGTGATGTAAAACCAGTGTAGCTCTCCCAAGGGCTGACAAACCAGCCCTGGTGTCAGCCCATGGTCTGGTTTCTGACTCCTGTGTCCCCATCACTAAGTGATCCCCACACCCAGCACAGCTCTGGACCAGCTGTGGCTGTGCCCAGGGCAGGTCCCACTCCAGCAGGATGTAAAACAAGTCTTGTAATGTCACAGACTATTTCAGGACCACCCAAAGGATGTCCTGGCTCCATCACAAGACCTGCAGCTGTCCCTGAGAGGTTTAGGCTCATCTCCATAGGGTTAGGATGGTCAATTCTATAATCCATCCTGTAGCCACAGCCAGCAAAGCTTCCTCTCTCCTTCCCACACAGCCTGTAGAACTCCCCACACCTCAGTGTTCCTGTTGCAGCAGCCTCTCCTCAACTTCAAGCACATTTTTCCTCATCCCAGGGAACATTTTCTAAGTCACTCACATCAAGAAGAAAAAATGATAATCAGGCTGGCTCAGACTTGCAAAACTGATCATTAAAAACCCAAACGCCTGAGGGGACAAGGTGAGGACATGGATCATCCTACATCTGCCTTCAGGTCCCCTCATCTCCTGCAGGAAGCACAGCCAAGCTCAGGCTCAGCCTCCCCAAGGAGCTGATGCTCAAGTCACTGTGTTTGCTGCTTTCTCAGCAACAAAATGTTTTCCTTTGCAGTGAGAAGTGCCCTGTGTGCACAGCTGGAGCAGGAACCCCCAGATGGGAGCCTGGAGGGCAGGGAAACCACAGGGTCACTGCTCTCAGCTGATGTGCTCTGACATTCACACATGTCCCAGGGTGAAGATAAAGGAGTAAAAAGGTCCCATCTTGTTATCCCTCCAGGTCCTGGTGTTGGTCACTGAGTGGAGGCTGCTCAGGGCTCCAACACAGCTCCAGACCTACCAGTTGCCTCCTCTCCTCCTCCTCCAGCAACAGTGGGATGAGCTCAGGGCAGCACCAAGGTCTGAGCCAGGGCTCACACTCCACCTCAACTCCAACCCCACTCCTGAGAAAAGCTGATTTTCTGAAGCAGAGCTTGTCACAACTCAGCAAACCCCGAGGACACATGGCCAGAGAGGAGCAGCCTGGCATGAACCTATGAGCTTAAACAACACACCTGGCAGTTACCTGGGGACCTGCTCCCCTCAGCCCTGGCTCTCCACCCTGTGCCAAGCCAAAGAAGGGACCAGCAGCAATCCAAGACTCCAACACAGAGCAACAACAGCATTTCTACATCCCTTAGGGAACCTCACAATGGCAAACTTTCTTCTTCCTTGAACTCTTGCACAAGAGGGAATTCTGGAGCTGCTTCTGGCAGCTCAGGCTCATGCTGAAGGGATAGATGTCATCCCAGTGCTCCCCTGGGCCAGGAGCAGGGACTATAACCTGCCTGGCACCAGGGCTGGCATCACTGGGTTTACAATCCTGCAGTATGACCTAGAAGTACAAACCCTTAGCAGCACAGCTCTATTCCTTCCATCCCTGAGGAGGGGATAGTAGCAGAGCTCCCAGAGCCTGAGCAGTTAATATTCCCAATCCAAACCCACATGTTTGTACACTGCAAGGCTGAGTAACCCCCACAATACTCCCAAGGATCCAAAACATTCCTCCTGCCCCAGTGTGGCTCACAGGCACTTCAGCAAACCTCTCTGCTCCAAGAGACTGTGATCCCAAGCACATCCTGGTTCACAGCCAGGAGCAAACACACTCTTACCCCTAACGTGCTGCTGCAGAGTTAAAAGTTTGGGAATCTCCAAGTCTGAAACCCCAAAGAGGTCTGTGTCCCCACGGCCCAAGGGCTGGAGCTTTGGGTAGGAGCTGAGAGCAGGAAATAATTCTGCCTTTTCCTTCCCTGCTCCTTCAAACATATGTGGAGCAGCCCAGGGGCTGGCAAAGGCTCTGCCTGCTGACCCAGCAGACTCAGAGCAGTGTCAGACCCAGAGCAAAGCTCCCACGTGCTGTCCCCATTCCTCTGCACCCCAACTCACACCACCTGCCCCGGCACAACCTGCCAGAGCAACTCCTGCTGCTCCACAAAGCCTTTGGGCTTTGTACCTGGATGGCAATTTCCAGGTGCTCCAACACCATCTCCACTAAACAACGCTCAGCTCAATTCCCGAGCCAAGAGTTTAACAAAGCATCCCGAAATTAGCATTTTAAAGGATTCGAAAATCCTCCCATCTACCGCGTTCAGCTTCCACACCGGTGTGTGGATCAGACACAGACTGAGCTAAGTTACATCACCGCCCGGAGAATTAGTGGCAATGTAAATAAGCAGCTGATTGTCACAGCTGTCACCAAGCCCCAAACCTAACGCCCCTTTGGCAATCGTCAGGGCTGAGCCATGGGGAGGGAGTTCCTTATTAGAAACACATCCTGGATGGGAAGCTCAGCGCAAATCCCCACGGATTTGTGCCCAGGGCTCTCCCCAGCCCCGAGCATCACTCGCATCCCTCCACGTGTCTCTGCCCGAACTCCTGGGGAGCACTCGCAACGCCCCAATTTCTGCCACTGAGCTTATCCAAACAAGCTTCCACAAACATTTGGGTGGTAAACAATCCGCTTAAGGAAAAAAATATCCTCCAGGAAGTTCTGGCTGTAACTTCACGCTTAAGCAGCTAGCGCTGAGCCCAGCTCCGCGAACCGGCAGGGGATGAAAACACCCGAGGGGGAGAGCGACAGACCCGGGAGCAAAATCAATCCCTCCCTCCCAGCCTCGGGACCCTCTGCCCACGGGCACTGCCCTCGTGGCTTTCCCACGCAGCATCCCGAGCTCAGCCCTCCCCATCGGGAGAGAGGAGCATCCCGGGCAGGGAGAGCTGGCAGGGAACAGGGTCTGCAGAGCCCCCCGCGCTGTCTGCCAGGCTCTTACGTCCTCTTGAAGACTCCTCCGAGGCAGCTGCCGAGCAGTAGACAGAACTGCTGCGAGAAGAAGACCCAGGTGATCTGCGAGAGGGAGCTCTGGGTCTGGCAGCGCAGGTCCAGCAGCGTGGGCCCCAGGAAAGCGATGCAGAGGCCGAAGCTGAAAAAAACGCTCCAGTAGGTGAGGGTGGGCTGCAGGTTTCTCCGGAACAGAGCCGACACCCGCTCGTCCCACCACATCCTGGGCGGTGGTGGTGCGGGGATGGGCTCCGGCCCCGCTGCGCTCGCTGCCGGCTCCGCTC